GAGAATTTGGAGCTCTTTGACTCCCCAACCTAATATTGAGAGTATCGATCCTGACTTTAATGGAATCTTTATATAATCATTTTTTACAAAATGAAGAGACAAAAAAGAAGACATAACTTGAAAAGATGCCGCTTACCTAGATTATGCTAAAAATATAGCAAGCACTTCACCATTGGATTCTGCAATGGATGGCATCGGAATTATTAACCACGACCATCAATTGCACTCCGTATATTTTCCGTATTTTGTTTTTGTGCCACGCCCTATTAGCTCTGCAATATGGCTACCAGAAGCTTTCCTTCTTCTCTGAGTCTCTTCTCTTCTCCTTTGACTATTAGTAATGTTCACTAACTATCTATGTATCACTGAATATGATTTTAGATCAACTTATTCATGTACTTGATCTGTTAAAGAGATGTGGTTTCCCTCAGACAAGATGGCATGAACTGGGACTGAGACTAGGACTACATAAGGACACACTGGGCGCCATTAAAAGGGACAATGACAGAACTAATGATTGCTTGATAGAGTGTCTCTCCAAGTGGTTGCGTAGAGTTGATAATGTTGACAGTAAAGGAGGAGCTACCTTTGACTCATTGTCAGATGCTCTTAAATCTATGAATGAGAATGCTGCATCTGACAAGTTAGATCAAGAGAGTAAGTTAATATCACTGATTGTATTAGTATTGACTCTGTGTGTGTTGATTAAGATTGATGGAGGAGTTAGTCTGGTCCCGCCTCTTCGTTGTGCAGGGGTGGCGCAGAAGAGTCTGGTGACACTGCTACAGAATTTGTGGCACTAAGCACAGGATTGAGCGTCCCAATCAGATTGCAGCACTCACGTGTAAGTAACTTTGTCGTGACCTATTCAAAATGGCTACAAGTATGACTGACAAACCTGCTGTAGATACGAATAATGCTAGCAAAGGAACAGAAGCTAACTGTATAGGAAGTAACAGAAGAATATGAAGAATTCTCGTGTTAAACTTGGCTGAAAAGTATACAGATTTTCTGCTTTCACTCCTGCAGATATCCTTGAATTAACTAAAACTTTGATGGATTCCTTCCTGCCTTTTACTACTGCATCACGTGACAGAATGTTTTAATAACTTTAATAACTACTAATTATTGAATTCCTTTCTGCAATAGTTTCTGTAGCAGTGTCACGAGACTCTTCTGCGCCACTCCCGTGCAACAAAGAGGCAGGGCCAGACTATGGAGGAGTGTAATAGACCTCTTTTGGTGAAAATGAATTACGTCAAAGGGCGTGAGCCATGTGACTGAGTGTTGAGTCTGAATTGACTCTGAAATAATTTTTGTGGATGGCAGCTTTCTATATATGGAGTATGAATGGGCCATTGCAGAAAGCAAGCTGTAACAGAGAATATGCTTCATATACATGTATTTAGCAACAGCAACCATTCTTTTC